CTCATTGCTGCAGAGAACCACTCGCTTGTGCAGAAAGTCTCCCACGGCAATCTCACCAGGCTGAGTAGCAGTGATACCGTGAACCACATCCAACTTTCTCGTAAATGTACCCGTTTTAACAAACTCGCGACACATTTCCCACTTAACTGCTTCTTCCTTAATTTCACCCAGATTGATGTCACCAATTCTCTGACCGGGGGTGAAGCTCAGATATGAATGCTTGGGATCAATCTGGGGAGGATTTTGACTCTTGAGTGATTTCAAGTCTTTGCTGATGATAGGGTATTGCGACAAAAAGTCACTGTCAGATGCAGCGTTAGTGATATCCTGAGATGTCTGTAGCGAGCGTTTTTTACTTTGTAGCATCATTGACAGTGTGTTCTGATGCTCATGATATGTTCTGTTGCGATCCTGCTGGAGCTGTTTGATTTTGTTAATCATATTTGTCTCTTGAGATGTTATCTCAGCCCTCATTTTATCCGCCTTGTCTTTCACAGCTTTCACCGTCTTTGTGACGTTCAGTGTAAATTTCTGCTGAGCTTGTGATGCAGTGGCAAAATCCTGTTCAAGTGTTGTGATGTCTGTTCTGACATCTGCAAACAAAGCTTTCAGTGATATTTTGTATTTGTGGGAAGCCTTTTTAGAGTCAATGTAGTGATGGTTTGGTTTGCAGTGGTCTACTACAGTACAAGCTCGGCAGATTAGTTCTTCACAGGTCTCACAATAAAACCATTTTACTTCCCCCATGTGTTTCTGGCATTTAGACTCATCTTCTTCTGGTGTTTGCTTCCCTGTTACCTTCCCCTGACGAATGTCCTCCAAAGTAGCTGCTTCTTCTGGTGTTTTGACCACTGAACAAAGCTCATTTTCTTGGAATGAGACCTCCTCGACTATTCCCATCAAATGGAAGTTTGTTTTCAGGCCTTGAATGCGTGTCTCCGGAAGTACCATCTCCCGTCGACATACCGGGCAAGGAATCTTTCGTTGACCTCCATACGTAGTTTTGTAGTATTGCTCCAGACATTTCTCGCAAAAACTGTGCTGGCAGTCCAGCACCTTGGGCCGTTTATATTTTTCTTTGCAAATGTCACACTCAAGATGGTTGCTTATCTTCTCAAGAGCCGTGGCCATTTGTATCTGTGTTCAAATAGTATTTAAGAAGAAAAAGGCATGGTTACTAAAAATGATGAAAACAAAAACTTGACTAAAAGGTGTTTTGAGTTCTATCTTGGAAAAAGTGAATATGTATGAATATGTTCTTTTCAATTGCAATTTTGTAGCCAGACAAAAGATATCCACTTTTTTATTGTTAAATGACCCTGTTAATTCCTTTTGGAATTCCTGTTCAAGTTTTGGAGAGCACTGAGAGTACATCTTTAATGATCTTCTGAACTGATTTCAAATTTTGAAATGGACAAAGTCTATGTTAGATCACCGTAGATTCTCCCTGCTCTTATTACTGCATACATGAAGGCTTTGCTGGAACTCACTTTACGTCACTGTGATTTCACAGTACACAGCTAGCCTTTAACCTCGTTCAAAATAACTGACAATATTTTCTTACCTCTTTATAATGCAAGGCAAATCACTTATAGAAGGTTCTTTATTTGAAACTGAAGTATTTTTTCTCCCCTGTAAGAGCACAGTTGAGTTTTTTGATAAGGCAGATCTGGTAAAGATGGCGCTGGACAAACACAGCATCGTCATCAAGCCATGTGACATGGTTTATATATAGAGCTTGGGATTTTTGTTTTGCTCCATACATGTACATGTACGGTACACATGCACAGTCTATATATCTGTTTATCTACGTGTACATATTTACTTGACACTTGAGTTTTGGACCCTAGATAGGTTCGTGTATTCTATCTACATGTACATTATGTACTTGGCTAAATTTCAATTGCATACACCTCAGCATCCGTTTAATTCCACTCAGTTTTTCAAATGCCGAATAAATAACTTGCAACATACATGCATGTCCCTCAAATTTCTTTTCATACTCCATGGACTTATTGCAGTTTTTGTTTCTCCTGTGTTATACTGATGAGAAATGTTAAATCAAGTAGAAGTTCAATTTTGACCAACAAAAAAATTCTTCTCAGTTTTACACCTGTCAACATATAGGCTAAATACTAACGTGCTACCGTGGGAAGTGCAATGGTGTACTGCATGGTGGGGCTGTCTGGTATGAAGCATGTGAATCTTTTACTCAGATCCTTCTTCTTGTTTTCTTTTCTGTTGACCCCTGGTTCGATTCCTGTTTATTTCAAGGTGTGACCTAAGTTATCCTGGAAGGAATTGAGGAGTCTTTGTCAGATCCTTCTGTGTGTCTTCATTTCTGATGGCCCCTGGTTAGATTCCTGTTTATTCCCAGGTGTGACATTGGTTACCCTTGAAGGAATTTAGGAGTCAAGTCAATGAAAGACAATGTCAAATGTTTTCAACTTAGATTAGAGTGTGCATAGTCGTAACCGTTAGAGGGAGCCTTTTCCCAGATATGAGACTTGTAAAGTTCATTATTTTGTTTGTTTGCTGACATGTTTACTCTACACTTGAGTTTTTGTATCTTGGACCTGAGTTAATTTTAAATACTTGCACACATGTACACGTACACCGTCAGGTTGCAGACCACTGAATAAACTGCCATAGACCCCAGTGATAGAGACACCCCCCCCCCTTCCAAAATTGAGGGGAAATACAAAATGCTCTAACAGCACCAAAAAAGAGGGCGTGCTAATCCTGATTTGGCCAGTGTAGGCCAGTTTTTTTGGCCTCTTAACTGGCCTGCAACCATCAGTGTCCATACATCTGTGCATTGTACATGTCATTCTTAACTTGTAAACTAGTTTCATCAAATGAGGTAATAATGTACCTGTACCTACTTTTTCCTTCCATTCTGTGACATGATGTTCTCATTTATGGTTCTGTTTGTAAAATATCCCCAAATGAACAAGTTTGAATTTCTATAATTCCTTTGACCTAGCTCACAAACTAGCGTCATTCAGAATTTTCAGTCGTAAAATTGGCCACTTGTTGAATACGAGTTGCCAAGGGTCCATGATCAAAAATTGACCAAACATAGTCGTTTAAAATATGTATAAGGCCCATTCCCATGGTAAGAGGTCACATGTTTTGCAATTTTCGGAAAATTTTGGGGCTCGTTACAAATGTATATTTGTGCTTTCTTTAAAGGTCACCCAGCCAAAATGCTAAACAACGTCACACAGTTAACTCTATCACTACGGTGCACAGCCTCATGTTATATGTACTTTTTAAAATCCATTTGTTTTCAAAACTAGAAAAACATGCATTTAATGCTATTTTACCACCCCACAAACCTTTCCCCTCTAAACAACAAAGCAACTTGCCAGCTGGGAACGCAGAGTGCTGTTCAGTTGGCTGTGATGATTTTTTTTTTTTATATTTGTCTTTTTAATATTTGATGAGAAAATTTCGGGCAACTGTTTGTACCTCTTTCTGCAGCATCAATCAAGAAATGTTAATAGAGAAAACTATCTTGTGTTTTTTCTTTGATTTAAGTTAACATTCAGGAAACAAAAAACTTTCTAAAGCTAGCATATTTTTACAAGCGCAAATAATTTGTAAATTACTTTCAGACAAGTGCCACCAAATTCAGATTTCCTTTGCTTTTTTAAGAGTTCGTTTTGTTTTACCGTGGACACTGATATGAAGTATTTATATGAACTGACTCTTACATTTTGTTTTAACTAATTATCTAAGTGGTCTTTTCCTATTTGGTGTAATAATATGTACAGTTGTGTATATACTCTTTGTTCCAGTGTTGTACATGTAGTACTCGTACTCGGTACTGGTACTCAAGTACTACTTGAACTCGAGTTCTTTTTTCTTTAGAGTACTCATACTCGTACTTGTACTCGTACGAGTACTCAAATGTCAAAATGTCGCACTCGAAATGACGGAACTTCCGTCAATTCGAGTACTAAATTTTTGAGGCACCTAATTAAGTACTCATACTGGAAATGTCAAAATTGTACTCGATCATCAAGGTACTAGCTTGTACTCGAATAGCAGTACTAAAAAAATAGGTATAGCTCGACTCACCACAGCCTTATTTTATCGATACTTCAGTTTGAAATGGTCGATTGGCTTGCGAATAAATCAAAGATCCCTGACTTTCCAATGTTTCCTCTGCGCACGTCCGGACAAACACAATTAACAGCTATCTGTGAGTGGGTCTGTACATGTATCGGTCTAGCAGGGCCTGGGCCAATTACGCACAATAACCCAATTGCCGTGTCCAGGCACAATGGCCAATCATGTACGTGAAACACTGAGGTGTTCCTCAAAATGATCCTAAGATTAAGTTGGCTGATTGGAGCAAGGCCATTTTCCGAACCCCGGTTTTGGCTCCCTCACTCCAAGAGACGGGGACGAAACCAGGGTTTCAAAAATGGCGCATAGACTGGTTGCAGCGTCATGCCCACAGACTTAAACATAGGCCTAGGATTATCATGTCATGGAAGCAGACTAAGTATGTAGTACACGTATGTTCACTTGTCAAAAAGTGTTGGCTTGTGAAGAATTTGTGGCACTTTTTTGCCTAAGTTGTAACTTGTTCGTGACTAAAACAACAAAATATGTCTTCTGTATACTCTGTGGTGCAATTTGGCCTAAACTTTTCTGTCTGTATGTAAAAAAAATATTATAATTTCAAATAATTGAAAAATTTGAACATTCAGCAAATGTTGGTGATAGGATAGAGGGAAAGTCTGTCTGATGCAGTATTTGTGGAGAGAGCGCAACATAAGTTTAATTAATTATTAAATAGTATTTTTAGACAGTCATTTTACTTGGTGTATCTGCAAACCCTCTCCTATTATATACATGTAGTTGTATTCACAGCTACACAATGCCCCAAAAAATTACAAAAGCTTACCAAATAATGAAAAACAGTCTATCATTATAATGTCATATTGTGAGTTTTTAATCATTTCAATTTTATTTAATTTGCACAGCTCACCCATACTTCATTGAGCTTGATGATGCTTCATGCACCTACCACCGCACCTAGTTTGGTCACCATGGCAACTGAACAGATCGCCGCATACCAATTCCAGTTAGCAATGAGCGTAGTCAAGGGCAACGCAAGACACCTGTCAGCTTTGTTGTTGTACCTGTCAATGATCTGGGCTACCCTGTAGGTTCACCAGGGAGTAGCATCTGGACTTATACACCAGGTAAGCTCAGTTTTCATTTGCCACACACTTTCATTAGATGCAAGGAAATCAATAATATCTGGAGCATCAAGATAATGGGGGTGTGAAGTATTTTTTCGGCGTGGTACTTAAAGATTCTAATTGAAGAACTCAGCTAAAAGATCCGATACGATCATAAAATGCTGTTGAACCAATTCAGAAGGATATGATAACATTTAAGTTCTAGCCATGAAATTTAACTTGAAAATAGACGACTGTGATTTCTAAACTCTGTGGACATGCAAGATGTTCAAATTAGCAGTATCAGTTGTCTTCCACTCAAGAGAATATTTTCCTCAAAAAAACAACTTTGTCTTCTGAATTTTTCCCCCAGGGAGCAGCAGTGACTGGATCCCAAGTAGCAACTTATTAGAGGACATACCAGGCACAGCCGCTAACAGGATATGCCTAACTTCCCCATCAAGACAGTGTCAAGAGAGGATGGCTTCTAAATGAACAAGTGAGCATCTCGCCCCTCCATCACACATACACAATTGGCAATTAAAGTTGGTTCCAGAGTACACACAGTCTTATTCTGTTCATTAAGTCTGTTCATATGTGTTACAGGTAATCCTTTAAAACAGCACTGCCCAGCTTACAAGTGACAGTGAGTTGATCCGTAAGGTAAAGAGGACTGTTGGCTGGCCCCTTGGGACCAGCAAATGCTGAACAGCAATCATTGAGAAAACTAAATAGAGAAATCAGAACCTCATCGCGAGGTACCTTGTGTATCTCAAGACATTACTGAAGTGTCATCATGCTTGCGAGCGCTAACTTTATACCCCTGTTTATTTCCTACAGACACCTGTGGGCTGGTTTGGTGAGCAACATGAGCCAATGGGAGGAGTGACAGCTCGTGGAATGGCAAGAACGCCTGGAACCCTGTAGCCACCATGGAACTTCATGGCATCAATCCAACTTCTTGGCACCAATCCATAGGTGGGTCCTGTTTCACAGCTTAAGGATGTGTAGATATTATTGGCCATAATTATTGGCTATGGCCAGCAGTAACGCATGTGATTGCTAGCTGTAGCCATTTACACGTGTTTATAGGGTGCTGATTCAGCTGCTTTCATAGACCTGTGTGTTATTGCTAGCCATAGCCAGTAGCACGTTTCTATGGGATGTGGTTTAAGTTGCTTTATATAGATGCATGTCTTTTTGCTAGTCATAGCAAAACATGTGTCTATGGGACTGGGATTCAGCTACTGTCAAAGACACGTGTTATTGATAGCCATAGCCAGTAACACGTGCCTATGGGATGCGGACTCAGCTGCTTTCATAGACTCATGTGTAATTGCTAGCAATAGCCAGTAGCACGTTCCTATGGGATGTGGTTTAAGTTGCTTTTATAGACGCATGTCTTATTGCTAGCTGTAGCCAGTAACACGTGTCTATGGGTTGCGGATTCAGCTGCAAAAATGAAAAGAATGAAAACGCTGAATTCCGTAGCAATTCAAAACATGACTCAGCAACTTTTGATTTGAAATGAAGATCCTAAAATGTTGTTTTCTCAGAATATACAGCATTCAAGAACTAAAATCATCAGGTTAGTTGTTAAGCTTAGTTTAAGGAACTGGTATGATAGTGGCAGTCTTCCACAATTCAGGAAAATTACCCTCCCTCAAGAAAGAATTGAATACACATGTAAGTGGAAGAGCTAATTCGGGAGCAAATTCTTTAATCAGTCTGATAGGTAAGTCAGAAGGATGACCAGCCTGGTCTTTTTTTATACCTTTAATTATGATTATTAAAAATGCATTGCAGCCACATTTATTTGTTTGTATAGCCCATCTATGCGAATGTTTGCATCATATGCATTCCCACCACGTTTTAGTCAGTTTTCTTGGTCGTGGTACAAACGCCATGCCAGAACTTGACAGTGTGACAGGGCCTTAAGATTGTCAGCACTTTTGTTGCTTCAAACGAACATAATGCACAAATTACAAATGATGGACTTGATATACACCAAGGGAGGGAGAGTCATCCTCAATAGAGGGTGCTGTGGCATTTTCCATTGTAGGAGATCGGATAAAAAGGTGAAACCATTGACCTCATCGTGCGCCAATGAAGACTTGCAAACTGGTCCAAGGAATCTGGAAGTTCTTTGGCCAGCTGGGATCCCTATATAAAATTGTCTGCATATTCATGTGTCAAACAAAGGTAATACCGAAATAATAAGTTTCCGGAAACTTGTTGTAGATAATTAATGTTTGTCACATTTAACCACAGCTAGGTGATAGTTTCAATCCAATTCCATGGTGGTCAATATCTGTGTGGTTCATCTGAGTTGTGGGATTCTTTTCGGTTCAGGAGACTTCACTCTGTGGGTTTTAGGGGGGTTAGGAGTTCCAATTAAGTGGAACAAAAATACAGTATTTTTTTTAGCTGAAGAAATGAGCGACTACAAAGATCTACAAAGAGTGGTGAGTTCATTCTTATTCTGAATAAATGAATGAATGTATTTCTGCTCATTTCATTTCAAAATATCTGATTGTCAATATAAATATTTAATTGTTACAACATAGTTTGGAAGTGTCATCAAAACTTATTAATTCTTTGCTGAAATTGCAACCAAATAGGTAAAACAATGAAAACAGAGGTATGGAATTTATTTTTTGAAAAGGCAAGGAAATTTCAAGGAGGCTGTCAAGCCAAAATCAAGGCAACGGAGGCCACAGCGTCCTGAAATTCAATACAATTGATTTGAACATTTGTTAAAATGATTGGCCACCCATCAAACTTGAAGAATTTTTATCCTTCAAAGAAAATAATAAAAATGTCCATCAAGATAATCCCTTGTGAGTAAAGTTTACACAAGTCTTTATTCTGTGAATTCAGACAGGAAACCAAATTAATAGGATAAATATCAGTGCTCATCTTTAGCAGACATTTTGATGATTAACTGATCATCCACATTATTAGTGTTTCATTGATATAAATGTAAATGTTCAAAGCTTGTAAATAATAACAATAAACATGATGTCTATAAAAACTACAAAAATGAAACAAAAACTACCAAAACTTTTTTAAAGAAACTGAGTGAATACTAAAAACAGGACTAATTTTCAAAGTACAATGTAATCTTGATTAACTTTCATTGTGATGTGTACGCTTAAAGGTTTCATTTGCTTTTTGCAGGTTTATTTTCCCTGAAGCAACAAAAGTGCTCAATATTTTAAGTAGGGTGCATAACAAGCATTCTGTTCAAGCCTTAGCTGAGTGGCTTCTTCACATTTTGGAGAAAACAGAGAAAACATAATGCACAAGTCTTTGGATCTCGTAACTGGATTCTGTAGGCACCCCATTTTGAAACTACCTTCGGTGTTTGTTTTCTGACAATACCATTTCTGGTGGAATTATTTCACAGGGTATTTGTTACCAGTCCTATCTTCACTTTGAGCTTTCTGTCATTAAATCGGTAGGTACTTTACAAAGTCTTGTTGTGACTACTAAAATCTACATACAGTGGTGAATTGTTAATCACTTAAAAGTATACTTTAACATTTCATTTTTCCAATAAGATTGATACTTTGCAAACAAATTCATAATTTTTTGCTGAAACCCCAAACTGAAGTGATGATTTTTTTTTCATTTCCAAGTTTTCTGAAATTGGAACAAAAAATGCAAAACAGAGGTGTGCAATTAAATTCTTGAAAAGACGAGGCAATCTGTTTGTTTGTAAGGAAAAACTTGGATTAGAAATTTGCTATTTGTGTGGGACCTTTCAAGGTGGCAGTCAGGCCAAAATCAAGGCAACTGAGGCTGTATAGCTTTCTGAAATTCAGCTTCAGTCAAATTGATTTCCTATCTTTTGGTGGGAGGGGTTAAGTTAAGTTTGGTTGGTTCATTTCGGTTCAAAGCAATTTTTCCTTGAATAGTTGTTCGGGTCGGGTCGGATCAGGTCGGGTCAGGTCACAGGTCGGGTCAGATTTGGGGAGTCTGGATCAGTTTTGGTTTATATCTGTAATGTTTCAGCCAAGTTTGGCCTGCTAACCCGACCCGATGAACAAAATTTGTCTAGACCTCCAGCTCTGAGACCAAGACATTTATCGAGACCGAAACGTAGACCAAACAATGAAGAAAAGAGGAATGATTTGTTTTAGTTTGAACTTGTGAAATCTCACTTTTGTTTGATGTTGGGGGGAGTTAAGGGGCTGAACACCATCTGACTATTTGGGGCGCTGTTCAGTAAGCATAATTTTGTGCACATCACATAGGTAGGTAGCACTGCATTCAACGATGCATGATTTGGCCAGCAGCTGGACAATGATTTCATAAAAAAAACACCAGAAATGGCGCTCATTATAGCAGCTGTGAGGAGCTGGCATCAACTTTCAAAATGAAAAAGCAAAATATCTGAGGGAGAAGCCTTCCCCTGCTGCCCCAGTGGATGGTCTACTATCAGCTGAAAATTTAAAAGAAATAAAATTGAATCCTATTCATCAATACTCGCATATATGGGGCATTCCATACATTTGTGGCTAACTTTTCCTGTCCCTCTTCCACCTGACATGTATTTTTATAATTTTGCATGCACTACCTAATTAATGAAGTTATAGTTTTCAAGAGTGATTATGTAACAAACTACCTGCACCCAACAAATAAACAATGGAAGTCATTTGTAATGATACTTGAATGGCAAATTACAAAGTTCAGAGGAAACAGGCACAGGAATGATGTCACACTTTGGACCCTCAATGTCTAGAATGACCCATATTAGTCATCAGGTGAAGATGACTAACATGGACCGTATTGCATGGTCAGGGTTCCAGCCTGGCAAATTACAAGGTACAGCCAAAGTTAATTTGTAGGGAAACGAAAAAGTGGTTTTTAAAATCCTTTTCACAGAACAGATTCTGAAAGAAATTTGTTGGAATTTCTATGAAAAATGGCCAAAGAGGCAATAATTTTCTTATTTATATCATCAGTTTTTAATATAAATGCAGAAAAATCACAGACACTTAATAATTAAGGAAGGGAGAGCCATCACCAATAGAGGGCGCTGTGGCATAATAATAATTAAGAAAGGGAGAGCCATCACCAATAGAGGGCGCTGTGGCATAATTAAATGTTGGGAATCTGATGAAAAGGTGAAACCATTGACCTTGTCATGCGCCTATGAAGACTTGCACACTGGTCCAAGAGATCTGGAATTTATTTGGCCAACTGGGAATCCACTCATAAAATTGTCTGCGTATTTATGTATCAAACAAAAATTTAAAAGGTAATCCAAAAATAATTGATGAATGTTTTTATTGCCGAAACTTGGGAAAAATTAAAGTTATTCACACATTGAACCACATGTGATAGTTTCAAGCAAATTCAACAGTGGTCCATTTCTGTTGTATGGTTCATCTGAGTTGTGGGATTCTGTTGGATTCAGGAGACTTCACTTTGTGGGTTTCTTTGGGGGTTGAGGGTTCCAAGTGGAATAGCAATATAGTTATTTTAAGGGATGATTTTAGTTTTAATTTTTAGATGAAGAAAAGAGCGACTACAAAGAACTTCAAAGAGTGGTGAGTGAACTCTTATTCTGAATAAATGAATGAATTTATTTCTGCTCAGTTCGTTTCAAACATTTGATTTTACAAGTCAATTTGAATATTTAATTGTTGCAACAGAGTTTGAAAAGTGTCATCAAAATTCAATAATTCTTTGCTGAAACTCAAACTGTATGAGGGGGTAATTCTTTCATTGTTTTGAAGTTTTTCTGAAATGGCAACCAAATAGGTAAAACAATGAAAACAGAGGTCTGGAATTTAACTCTTGAAAAGGCAAGGACATTTCAAGGAGCTGTCAGGCCAAAATCAAGGCAACGGAGGCCATAGCTTCCTGAAATTAAATACCATTGATTTGAACATGTGTTTAAATGATTGGCAACCTTTCACACTTGAGGAATTTGTTTACCTTACAAAAAAAATAATAAAAATTTCCTTCAAGATAATCCCTTGTTAGTAAAGTTTACACAAGTTTTTATTCTGTGAATTCAGTATTTTGCTCATCTTAAGCAGACATTTTAATGATTAAATGATCATCCACATTAGTGTCTCATTGATATAAATGCAAGGTTTTAATAATAACAGTAAACAGATTTCTATGGAAAAACTACAAAAATGGGGGGAAAATACAAAAAGCTTTTTTTTTTTTAAAGAAACTGAATGAGTATTAAAAGACTAATTTTTAAAATTATCTTGATTACCTTTCATAGTGATGTGTATGCTTAAAGGTACATTTTGTGTAGGATCATTTGCTTTTTCCAGGGTTTTTTTCCCGAAGCAACAAAAGTGTTCAATATTTTAAGTACCAGTACGGTGCATATTAAGGTATTCTGTTTAAGTCTAATCTTAGTGGCTACTATACATTTTGAAGAAAACAAAACAATGCACAATTCTGGATTTCGTACCTGGATTCTGTAGGCATCCCATTTTGAAACCACCTTCAATGATTGTTTTCTGACAATACCATTTCAGGGGGAATTATTTCACAGGGTATTTGTTACTAGTCCTTTCTTCACTTTGAGGTTTTTGTCATTAAATCGGTAGGTACTTATCTGGGTAATTGCAAATGATCCTACGTGGCTTTAAAAAGTGAAGTTAACAGTAAAACAGAATGATGTTTTATGAAACAAATGTAATGTACAGATAGCACAGTATAGAATGAGTAGATGTACATGTACTTTTAGGAACAATACATAGAGGGAATTTACAAGGTCTTGTGACCATAACACACCGGTAAAGTGGAGAACTGTTAAACAATTAAAACTCTACTTGAACATTTAAATTTTACAATTAGATTATTTATTGCAAACAAATTAATACTTTTTTGTTGAATCCGAAACTGCAATGAGAATTTTTTCACCATTTTCAGTTAGCTGAAATGGCTACCATGCAAAGTTTTGAATCTAACTTGAAACTATACAAACAAAGGTATAGAATTTAATTCTTTAAAATGCTGATTGGTGCTGTAATGAATGGACAATTTCATCCTCAACATTTGCTGTAGGGATGATAACTGCTACATGTTTGGGCATGCATTGTTGTCAGTGTTATGTTGGATGGCATCACACCTTGTGATACATTTTGACAGAATGCCAGTCATCCACTGCCAGCTGCCCATCCGATGTGAATGTCATTGCCTGTGGGAGATACAGATCCTGTGCCAGGCAATCAAGAAACCTGCCATCTAGGTCGTAATGGTGAATATGATTAGTGCCAAACCCAGATTGCGTCACTCCAAGGTAGATACCTGACCTGTCGCAGCATACACCCTGGGTACGCAACACTGGTTGACCATCAATGGTTGGCTTGATGGTGAAGAGCGTAGTCCCTTTGCTATTGGCGACATCTACTTGATTTGTTTGACGTCCACTGATGAAAACTTTATCAGTGTCGTCATCAACAGCCAGGAACCAAGGTGGAGTCTGTACTGGTATGGTGTGTAGGATCTCACCATTAGTGGGTTTGTGTTCAGTCCACACCATCCTTCTTGTGTCACCTACTAAAATGGTTCCATTTGTCCTGACTGCTGTGCTCTGTAGGTCCACAAGTGTCTTGTCTACCTGATGGTTAGACACCGTTGGGAACTGCATAACAAGAGTGTTGTCCTTCATGTTGAACACCTTGACATACTTGCTATCAAGTTCCAACACAATCAAGCGTTTCTCAGGATTGTGCGTGGCTGCAACTGCCTGTGGTCCTGTGGGTATTAAAAGAAAAACTCAAATGTAACATATGCATAGTATATAAATGCAGCGTCACTATTCTCAGTCCTCATAAAATACCCAATGAACACATGACCTGCCTAAAATAAGCCCTGTCTAGTATTGATAAACATCGTGCAGTTGCCAACGTGATTAAATGCCACATCTTGAGGCACACAGTTTCGCAAATACTTTAAAAGTTGTATTTGTACTCTCTGTGCTATTCTCATGGTTCAAACCTAAAAATAGATGTACATGTATTCTTATATCTAACTTGATTATTTTTTACTATTTTTTTTAGCAATGTAAAGTTGTTCAATCATGACACCCCGATTTCTGGTTTGATGTCCTCACAGTGCTAGGGTGGTAGGCCTAATCTTTGATAATGAAGCTGACATTGTCATTTTTACAACAATGATCACTAAAAGATAGCGAAAGATGAATTTTGATTTTAAAAATGGATCGTTTTCAAAGTCTCCTGACAATAACGTCCAGTTTGATGAGGTCATCCTTATGAAACTTTGGAAAATTCGTTTTATTGTGCGAAGAATATTTATGAGCAATTTGGTAGATTTTTGACAAATATTCTTTAAATATTGAAAAAAAAATCAACTTTTTGACATGCTGCTAGATAGAGGGTGCCCTCTTTTACAATTACATCATCATGAGTTTTATTAAGTTCACTTTTAGACACTGAATATATTCTGAATATTAGAATTATTACTTTTGTGAAATGCTTCCGTTTTCAAGTTGTTCATTTATCATATTGCACCTTCCCTAACCTCGGAAGTAAAGGGCGAATGGTTTTGTGCCCGGGAGTCAAAACTGTTGCCCAATAATGATAGTAATACAGCAGCATCCTGATGTTAACGAAGAGCACTGTCAATACAACATCCTGCTATTAACAGGGAAAATGTTTGACCCCAAGTCTTTGGGTTTTTTTGTTGTTGTTTTCCATTACTGATAATGCAAGGTACCTGTTCTAACACAAGGTACCTGTCAAGCAAGGTAACTTGTAAAGTCCCAAGGACCTTAGCCTAGAAGTGTTCGACTAATAATAAATGTATTATAATCATCATCATCATCATCTAGCGGGTGCAACCGAGATCTCATTCACAATGCCACGCCAGGTGTCTTTATCCCTCATTATGTACGGAAGGTCTTCAATTTCACATTGGGTTTCTCTGCCAATCACATGTAGTTGAAGGGTCTTCGTCCTCTATTAGGGCATGGAAGTCTCCAACATAATACATCAGATATGACCTGGTTTACAGCATGGTAGCAGTGGCCAGCAAAGCGAACTTTCGGTTGAGCAACAAAAACAGAGATAGGTGGAATGTCTTCGTAAATCGTTCTTATCTCCAGTTCTCACGCCATGAGATGTTCTGCACCCTCATAAGAAGCCAGGTGTATGTGCCATCAAGGTGATCTTGAAGCTCCTTCATTGTCCAAGTTTTGGCTCCATAGAGAAGAATGCTCTCCACACAGGCTCTGAAGAAGGCCAGCTTTGTCGATTGTGCTATACTTGATTGCCAGATGTCATGAAGCTTGTTACAGGCACTCCAGGCTATTCCTTTGCGAGTGAAGAAGTCCTTACTGTTGGCAACATAGGACCCAAGGTACCTGAAATCACTGACCTCTCTAAGTTGGGTGTTGTCACTGGTGTATATGGGGTAGTGGCTCTCATACTCATTGATGGTGATGTTCTCGGTCTTCTTTGCATTGAAAAACAGGCCGACCTAGGCTGCAGCATTCTCGAGAAATGTTAACAGGTCTTGAGCATCATACAGTTGATCAGCCGTGCATGAGGGCCAGATCATCCGTGTAGTCAAGATCAGTGAGATGCAGGCTTTGATGACGTCTTCATTTCTTCTGCTTGATGGGTAGACCTTTAATTTGTCGTGGATGGAATCCAGACTTTGCCTAAGGATGTAGTCCAGCACAATCACAAAGAGGAATGAAGCTAAAGTGTCTCCCTGAAGGATTCCTGCTATTGCTATGAAGGACCACGTATTTCTGAATGTTACAGACCCCCAAAATATACAAAATAGTTTGTCTTCCACACAAGCTGATTTGCATTACTGAAACTCTCTCAACTTCTCTGTCAGGGCACCCAGAAGACTAGCTATCTCTGTAAACCCTTTGATGAACTTTCTATAGTAGGATGCAAGGCCTACAAAGCTCCTTTCATCCTGGACACACATGTAGGCACTGGCCAATCTCTGATGGCCTCGACTCTCTTTGGGTCTGTGGCAACATCTGAAGAAATTATTATGGCCTAAGTAGGCCACCCACTTCTCAAAAAGGTGATACTTGCTAGGCTTAAACTTTAGCCCAGCATCTCTCAGCCCAATCAGCACTATTCTGCTCTTAACCAGTATCTACTGCTCCTGCCATTGAGAGCTGTCTGTTGTTTAACCTTTTCGAAGTGCTCTGTTTCTAGTGCAGCTCAAATATGGCTTCATATAGATTCTTCGGATGGGCTCTTTTGATGCCCTCTCTCACTGTCGGACTCTCTACTATGTCTTGGAAATGATTTTGTGCTAGATGGTCACGTAACTCTTCCTGTATGTCAGGATATGCTTTTGCAGTCAGCTTTTGTATAGTTTGACCCAACTCTTGTAGGCTCTCTTTAAGTCCTTGTCAGTGGTACCTCAGCTTGACAAAATAGTTCTTCCGCTGCCTGCCTGAACCAAATCTTCTCTCCAGCAAACTTGAATGGCTCACTTTACGCCTGTCTCACCACTTTGCAGGACTCAAAGTGCAGGAAGTACTCTCTCCATAACACTTTGCAGTTATATGTATCTGTGGTAATAA